TTTTTTTTTTTTTTTTTTTTTGGATCTCAGTTTTTAGTCTGCTCAAAATGATTGGTTTTGACAATAGAGTAGCCTCTACTTTGTTAAATTATTATTCCTCTCTAGTAAATTAATTAAATATTGATGATGAAACATACATGCATGTGATAATAATTAATGGAGATGCTACGGTCCGTTACGGGACCATTCCGTTGGAGTTTGTAGCTGTTATATCAACTATACCCGACGGTTACATGATGATCTAACGGTTACAAACCCCGACGGAATGGTTTCATAACGGGACCGTAGCATTTCTCAATAATTAAATATATATTATTGTAACGATCAAGTTAGTTAGTCAGTTCATTAGTGCATGAATTTTTGACAAAGTAATTAAAAAGATATTCGAATATCCTTTTCTCATTCTTGATCCAGAATTTTATAACCAAGGTATAAATTCCAAGTACAAAATTAATGGACCCTTTGTTAATTGTGTAATTACTATAATACCAATATAAAAAATAATAATAATGTATAATATATTTCCTTCTATATATATATATATGTATATATAATATTTCGTAAAAAGTAATTAAACATGACAAATGGGACAATTCGCTACAAAAATATTCAAAATCCATAGCAACATTATACTGTTTAGAACGATTTTGTACCAAGAACGGTACGAAAAATGTCAGCAACCTTATTTCAGACCGTTTGGTATAGAAAAAATTGATTTTTTTTTTCGACCCCTATTCAAAAGTGGGTATCCTAAACCCCCAGGTGGAAAATGATAAATTTCAGTTCAAATTATTTTGAATGATAAATTGAGTGGATGTTAGAAGTCAATATCATGCAGTTTCCATGTCTAATGTCAACATGCAACAGCAACCATTGGATCATTATCAAGCTGGAACAAATGTGAGCCGTGAGATCAATTTTTTGGACGTTGAGAAAGAAGACAAAGAACAACTGCATTACAACACGTGCAGCTCCCTCATTGGTTCCTCATTGCAGCCAATAGTAGCTTAGGGTTTTCTTTCCTTTGTTTTAATGATGTCAAGTCTCATGTATATAATGTGGGGAACATAGCAGCCGCCATCATTACTTCTTTCATTGATATTGAGAACAAAGAATTCTGCAAGCATGCTTCTTGAGTTTAATGTTTTCCTTTTTGATCTTTGGGCAACATGTGATATCTTGACATGGTATCAGAGCATGTATTAACCTGTGTCTGATGCTATCCACTCATCTCTTTTAAAACTTTTTTATTTTTACCTTTCATCATGTCTCAAAGCTCAAATACCGAAGGAGGCTCTACCTCAAACCAAAACTCACAGATCCAAATCGTTCAACCTCAGAATCAGCTCATCACAACCAAACTAGATGAGTCAAACTATCTTATCTGGAAACAACAAGTGCTCACCACCATAAGAGGTTATGGCCTTGAAGATTTTATCACAGGAGATAGTGCAGCCCCTTCGAAATTTGTAGTTAACCAAGATGGAGAACCAACCATCAACCCTGAGTTCATGACATGAACCAGACAAGACCAACTGCTTGCATCATGGTTGCTCTCATCCCTCTCAGAAAGCATTCTCATCTTAACAGTTGGCTTAGGCTCAGCAAAGGAGATCTGGAAATCTCTTGAGGTAAACTTCTCAAGTCAAACCCTGGCTAAACAAATGCAGTACAAGTTGCAACTTCAAACCCTCAAGAAAGGAAATCTGTCTATGAGAGAATACTTGAACAAAATGAAATATTGCTTTGATATACTTGCTGCAACTGGAAGTGTGGTGTCCTCCACAGATCAGATCCTTCATATTCTCTCAGGCTTAGGATCTGACTATAATCCTGTTATAGACAATGTCACATCTAGACCAGAGGCATTCACTAAGACTGATGTTGAAGCTCTTCTGCTTAGCTTTGAGTCAAGACTGGAAACCACACAGTCATTAAGCTTTAACAATGAAGTAACTCAGCCCACCTTGAATGCTCTCACTCAAACTCCTCAAGGAAAGTTTAACAACAACAACAACAGAAACTATAACACAGCTCCTAGAGGAAGAGGAGGAAGAAACTGTTGGGTTCGCCTGTACCGTACGGGCTATACGCAGCGAAATTTAAAATTTTTTAAAACAAGTATTTAATACTTAAATACTTAACCCGTATATACATATGGCGAATTTACAAATCGTCATCTTTAAAAACATGTAATAATACAAATTTTGATTTGTTACAAGTAATATTAGAAATTACAAGTAATATCAAATATTACCTTATAACTCTAACTCCTTCTTCTTGATGGTGATTGAGGAAATTGGTTCCCGGATTAATAACGAACACTTTGGTTTGCTCGCTTTTAGGAATCCACTTGTCTTCCCTCTAAACGTATCCACCGTTTGCTTCCGACTACGAGATGACTCCTTCGCTAGTAGGAACTCACTCGATTTATAACTTAGTATTGAAATATATAAATAGGAGAATATTACAAGAACAATTCTTATTTACAAAATGAAATACTAACTCTTTATCTCTCAAATTATAAGTGAAAATGTTAACACAAATTCTTGCAAAAATGAACATCAACCATGCCCATATTTATACTAAATTTTTTAGCAATAAAATATATATGACTTGTATAACTTTTACAAGAAATGTTATAAAAGTCTTTAATAATTTTGACAAGCAAAATTAAAAATTTTTTCTCATTTCTACAAGTTAATACAACAATATAATAATTGCAAGACTCCATCTTGTCATTATTATATTATTATCATTATTAATTAATTTTTAATCAACATTAAAAATCAATAATAATAATAAACAAATAATTTTAAACTCTTTTAAAATCATTTGTAAACATATATATTATATTTAATATTCTCCTTTCATATAATAATCATATTATTATATGGATTTGAATTTTAAAATCCAATTTTAAAATCCAACTATTAATTTAGTAATTACATTAGTCACTAAATTAATATTAATCAATCCAATTGATTAATTTAATATATTTCTTTAATTGACATCTAATCAAAATTAGATTTTGTCAATTAATTCTAACTCTTTAGAAATACTAATATTTGTCTCTATACAAACATTGGTGTGACCTTTTAGGTTCACAATTAATACTAGTAGTGGGTTTACAACTCTTTGTAATTTGAGTTAATCTAATTAACTCTTATTCTTGAATTAACCCCTTTAATTCAAGAACCCACATATCATGGGAACACCTAGCAAGTAGCATGAATCTAGTATTAAGTGAATAGCGAGTAAACCTATTTCGATTACAAGTACATATATGTAGAATCCTTTCGACATCCAATTTCCCGATTAAATCTTGGGTATGATTTAGTCGAAACCCAAATTGATTTAATAACTATGATTCTATTTCATATTTAGTAATCCGTGTATGAATCTCTATTCATCCCGCCTTGGCCAAGGACTTTGAATTACTAACTATGAAACACATAGGAAATTCACTTATCTTCATAAGTGTGGAATCCTTCGTAGGCCACTAACAAACTTCCATACATATTAACATAATACCCAAAATATCCCTTT